TTACTCTCTATTTTATTCCGACCTGACAACTTATAGCCCGTACAAAATTGAAGCGAGTGCAATCATTTCTCAGTAAAAATATCACAACTATTGTCAACTGAGTTCTGAAGAATGACATCCAGCTTCAGATTTTCTCTCCCAGATGATGTCAGAAGTGGGAAAGCGAAATTATAATTCTTCTGTTCCTCAGGGCGCGGTTGGTCACAGTTTACGCAAGCCGTAGCAGAGTGTGAAGCTCGCACAATCCCTTATTTTCTGGATAGTCCAATGATTAAAATAATGTTTCCAGATGCATTAATTGGACGCCGAAAATTCCCAACTTTCCCGAATATCAAATTTATTTTCCCCTCAAATCGTACTGCCTGCTTACTCAATTATCAACAAACGGATTTTTGCCTGTTACTGTTCTTGTGCACTCGCACATACTCCGGACATAACTTACTGCTATACAACACACTTTTGTGTACAGTCGTCGTAATTGAGCGCGATATCATATGAAGACTTTTTAATGTGTCTCGCCTTTGAAACAGCGGCACCGGAGAACTACCCAGTGAAAATTTACAGGCGCGGCAGCGTCTGATTTGGATTACCAGAAGCTGGGGCGACGATCTAAATTTTGTTAGGGTATAAGCCAAGTGCGGTTATCACGCAGCCTCACCCCCCTCTTACATTGTAATCTAAGAGTGACGGTTTGCAAGGCACCCGCATATGTGCTGCTGATGACCGCTTCATCAGCTCGATCACCATAACTCTACGATGTTCTTTTGTCCATGTTCCGGTGTTGAAGTCGCTGCTGAAGGAATCTGAAAAGAATAATAGTTTTAACTTGAAGTGAATTCAGGATTCTATGCAAACAAGACAAATCCAACGAAGTCTAAACTAAGATGTCTTCAATTAAATGTTCCCGACGTGTTCTCAAAAAAGATCATGAGATAATTAAATGCAGCACATTGACACCAAAGCAGCACAAATATCATTCTGTGCTATTCTGTGCTATGAAATTGATAAAGTGTGGATTCCTGATTCATGTGCTATTTGTGTGTTCATAACTAAGCAACTGTGCCAATTTAAAGTGCATCAGCAGGTCGTGCTTACTATCAGCCTATGCACATTACTGAGACCTCAACACATTTCATATTTGTTATTCGTACATCGACTCGTGCAGTGAAACCATTTGAAGTTACTCCATTTCAGCCCGAGACTATATTGTGATTGTGTCGTCCGTGCACTTTGCTAGTTGTTTTACACACTCGGACTCGTTTATATAAGAGCGCAGCTGAACAAATATAGTTCAGTAATATTACAAGTGTAGAGGAGCACGGCTAACAGATCGCCAATTGATACCAAATGCTTCTTTGCTCAGCTCTGTTATCGATGCGACCGATCTACGCAGCAAACTCAAGTCGCTGCTTAATTGTTGTGTTTGCGGGTGGACACACGTCTGTCTTACTTCGATCTAGAAACGGAGTATATTTTTATAGAGAGGATTTTAAGAACAGAGATGCATTTGAACATTCCAATAGAAGATTCAGAGTGATAACATTTCCCAAGGGAAGATCGAACCCAAGTTTCGTTGGGCTCTTCGGATGGACACTTCCTCTGAAAGGTGCTAAAGAACTTGCGACAAGTCTTGTGTTACTTTTGACCAGAAGTGTTACCAGTTCCATTGATGAAAAGCGGTTTGACTTAAAAATAGCCTGCGCGATGAACCGGTGCAACATCCTTGGTGCACTCTGTTTGGAATCGTACAATATACCATTAAATTACTTGGCAACATAAGTGATTCGAAATTTAGTACGATTGCCATTATCCATTGCGTTAAATACAACTCCATGCTAAAAAATAAATAAAGCAGATAATAACTTTCGGTGTATTGATAAAATTTCATACCTGTTGCAAAAATGTATACAGAGTAAAACATTATTTTTAACCGAGCTCTAACGTAATCGTCCGCTATATAAGAGACAAGAAGCCGCTATAGACTTTCCCAATTAACTTCATAAGAAGGAAATTTTTCAACATAATTTGCATATCGATGGGGCCAGAGAAGAGTTTAACAACTGAAAGGAGTTTCCGCTTCCTAATGAGTGCTAGCAAATGAATCACTGAATGGATGCTAGCAAATGAATCACTGATGAATGCTGGCAAATGAATCACTGATGAAAACCACTACGCTATCAATCTAGCGATGGCAGACGATTATTGAAATAATTGAATGTCAACTCTGCAATAAAGTAAAAAACTTGTAGCATCGCCATAATGTAAGAAATTTTGTCTGTAAATTCGGTCGGGCTTTTTAAATTTGCTACGAGTGGAGACAATGGTTGAGCTCATGTCATCTTCATACCATTTGTTATTGGTTGTTAAAAAGCCAGGCGTTAACTTTCTCATATTCCTTTCTGATGAAGAGTCGCTGAGATTGAGAAGTTATTGTTTTAACTCAAAGAGCACAAATTGAGGTGTATAAGCGCTTCGTAAATATAAATTATAAACAAATAAATTAATTTATCAGGAATTATCTTTCGCTTCCGGAGAAAATGTAGGCAATTTTACTTGGAATGTGAACAATTGATTTTCAATAAGAATTGTTATCTTATTCCACTTCGTCCAACACACGAACATTTCCCAAGCCCTGCATTACGCACTGTACAATTTCTGCATGAAAGCGTAAATTTTAAACTTCAACAAAGAATGAACCACTCAGAATTCCAAGTCGAATAGTCGCGAAGAGAATAGTGTTTCACCGCGATGTGTACCGGAAGATGTCAATTGATGTCGACAAGATTGACGACGTCACTTGCTGGCGACAAAAGATGCCGACAAGACAAAGCTCGGCTTATCTGGAGTTATTCGTATCGGAGATTTTCCCCCGTATCTCGAGTGCTTCGTATCGGACACTTTTCTCCCAATCACCAGTAATGCTTCACATCAGACGTACGAGTATCCCAAGTCTTTCTTCGTTACGCACCTTTCCCTTTATTCTCTTAGCAAAAGAATAATGTCCAGCCCATGCTTAATTTCATAGCAAAACTGACATCGCATTGAAGTCAAGTTTGAATGTTTTCGCTGGGAGTTGAGCCATTCGAGCAACGTCTTAAACACCTGTTATTACATTTGCATGTTCAATCTACAAGCCCATCAGGACACATTTGTAACAATAGACAGTCATCCTTAATTAGATTGCAAATATTCTAAACGTTTCGATGTTGGAACACACTTCCAATCCTGTTATGCAAGCTTTTAACTCTTTCAATAATAATAACTCAGTCCTGACATTTATTGTACGTTCCATTGAATGTTTAAGCGTATTAATGAAAATTAGTGATACAAATTTTCTCGTAAGCAAACAACAGACTACTTGTAAACATCTTCATACTAGGCTACTGAATTATATTTGTGGATTGGAGTTTCGAAGACTCCAACACCCTAGGACCGGGTACTGCAAGTTCTATTATTATGCCTACGATTTAGGTTTCTTCATTAAAATTATGAGATGCAAAATGATTTATGAATACCACGCACTGTTTATGCGGTTTACAACCTGCGCATATAATTAAAATAATATCTGATCATTATTCACATCCGCACGGTCGCTTTTACAATTATGGCTGCAGGCATCAAGCTCATGAATATATTGATTCATTTACTTAGGATCATAATCTTTTTGCGATATTCTACTATGTTAGCAACGAGGGATTACTCGGGCTGCACTATTTAATAATATCTATGACATCAATCACATCATTTAGTAATGTAAATAGGACTAACCTAGCGGCCATTATCCCTGCGTTGCTGTTTCTGCCTCAGTCCCTGGCTGTGCCGCTCTTGCTGCCTGCCCAGCGTTGCCAGATGGTATATTTCTATACCAGATTTCACAAATCTGGTATTTTCAGAAGGTGTCTGGTATGAACATTTTAGATCTGGTATATTTGCCTAAATCTGGTATTTTTCTGGTATTTTCTGACTTACTGCAAATTTACTGCATTAAGTTCCACCTCTGCTGAAGTTTGAATTTCCTCCAACGTAGGCGTGGATTATATAGATTACCATCAGAGTGGCGCGACTAGAGGTTTCCCGCCATTTTTGGAACCGCAAGTTTACCGCTTGATAAAATAACCCCAATTTAATTGTTAACATTTAACACAAGTGCTTAGTGCAATATGAGCACGAAAGTGATGATCCTCGATTGATTACTGATCAGTGATGAACTGATGATATGGCCTAGGACGAGTGAGGATGTCGAAACGATCTCTGCGACGCAAGCTCCACCATTTTTGTTTGTTGGTTTTGAATTCTCGAGTGCCACTTATTGGAGTGCCACTTGAATTCTGGGGTGCCATTCAACATTTCACTGATCTTGACAATTATCATCCATTCAGGGAAATGGCTGCCTACTGCATCACTTGTCTACTTTGACTTGTCTCCAAAGCATTTGTGGTGCAAGTGTTCTCACAAGTCACCTATGTGAAAAACAAGCAACGGAATAAAATGTCAACTACTGTACTGGAGTCCCTTATTCGGACCAAAATCTATCTGCTCAACCGCAACAAGTGATCACACCAGAAATGTTAGATTAATGCAATATGCAAGCATGTACGAAAATAAGCAAAATGAAGATGACCTGTTTCCGTGGCTTGCTCATGTTGAGGGAAGAGGAAAAAAGTGCCACAATGACACTGATAAAAAAGGAAAAAGTGTCAATGTAATCAAACACAGGAAAAGAAAAGTGTCAAAATTTTCCAAACAGAGGGGAAAAAATATAACGTGTTCAATTTGGCTAATTATCGTCAAGCCAGATAACTGCACAGTACATAAGATAATTTTTTTCTAACTAACGTTTCTGACGAATAGTTTTATTAAATTTGGAGGTATTAGTCTGTTTTTGAACGATAGAATTTCTGGCATATTTCTGGTATTTTGAGCTAGGCAATCTGGTATTCTCGCCAAGAAAAAACCTGGCAACACTGTGCCTGCCGACCAACTTTCAGTGTCAACCCAGCCGTGTAAGTGGGTGTAGGTCGCCGCTTTAGCTCTTTGCAGTTCACTCTTGGCGTCCAGAGTGACGTACAAGTTAGGTGGTAGGTACAACGGAAATTCCAAACATAACTACTCTACCCAAGAATTGAACCCGATAATTTGTATTGCCTGATTGAATGCCAACACATTCATTATAGTTTGTGTACCACAGTAGCCTTAAGGTATTTGCATCACCGCAACTGTTTAATAACTCGAATAAACAAAAGTTCAAGAAGAGTTAGTTAACAGCTGCGGCGGTCTCCGAGAAATAAAACGGTGAGTCGTTACAACTTACAACCCATGGTTGAATTAATACATGTTACAACCTGTCCTTTCGCACTCTCTTGAAGGCAGCGTCTAATTCATTCACGCCTAATAATTCCAAATTTTTTGTTTCCTCGCCATTTTAATATTAATTTAACCGAGTTTAATTTTAGAGAGAAATGTGATATGAAAATTCGAGCAACTGGCTGCTTGAATTGTCGTTTATTCATGACCAAATAATATATCATACCTACCTACCTGCGACCATGTGCCATTTTATTAAGTCTTTGGACGTTTTAGTTACTAAAATGCGTAGGAATTCGCTGTGGTGCTTGTTTATAACATATATTCTTAAATGGACCCAACAAACTTTGCTCTTGCAGCTCTCGTCGATAAAATAAGTTGATGTACGGGGACACGAATTTTCTGCATTTGACAAGAAGAGAATTGGAGCTTCAACATATTCTTAGTCATATTAACTTGAGTTAAGTTTGCAGGTGCTTGCTTTTACCTGCGGTATGGAAGGCGGATGCGGGATAATAAGCGTGATGGCATTTTTAAACCTTTGTCATTGATGTAGCCTGCTGAAATCAAGAATACAGGTGTTTTCTATGAATTATTGGTGTGTAGAATTTATCTACTAACGGTATTAAGTTTTATTCTTCACCGATACGTAGATATGTATTGCCGGCCGCGCTCACTATGAAAACTTTAAACTTGGATCAACCATGCGCGATTGTGGCTCGTATTTTCTAAATTGATAGCTTAAGCCCCTATACTATTGTCTGTGAGAGAAATTGTCATATTGGGTTATGCGTTCCCTACAAAATATACCGAATCTGTCGGACTGTTTTAACATGGGTAATGTGATCGCAACCGACTTGTGTGTTGTAGTCTTGTTACTTGTATTTTATCGGTCTATCTTGTACCACTATCAACTGCTGATAGTGATAAACTGTAGCAATTCGCGCTCGCTCGACAACTCCATTTGAAGCGTTTCCACTTCATTCAGTGCCAAGACAAGGGTTACTAGAAGTTTTGTACCACGCTCAAATACCACATCTCATGCTCTGCGACTTGAGCTGTTTACTCTTGTAATTGTTTTCTAATTAAAAAAGTGAATCGGCCATTTTATCGATCCTATCATTTTGTGTCACTTATGCGGCTACAGCAAATTATGCAGCGTCAGGTATAACTGATGAGTCAGCCTTGAGCCTGCATTTATGAGATTCGCTGCTGACGTGATCGCTTATATACTCTCAGGGACGATTTCATCCTCAAACTTTCGATCAAGTACGTATGAGAACGACCAACAGCCTTCCCACGATATCTTACAACGAAGGAACTGATGCGTCGAGCTTGTGCGCCGCTAAAGAGCACGGAATCCCTGTTATTTTTTTTTACTTTTTAGTATTTTTTCGTACAAAATACTTCGAAATTTTCGAAGACTGTGATGCGCTGCCACAAGTTTTCACTTTCTCATGCGATTCTGCGCCCGATTCTTTTTATAATAGTTCGTATAATCTCTCATTGCCCGAATTGCCTCGTGCTATAGACAGTTGACAACGTTGATAGTTCATCAGGAGAACTGATAAAGCTCTGTCTAAATCGTATCCCGCTTCGTTGTCTGACCTAAGGCGATATTTTCGGTGAGATGAGGCTTTGTTCGCCGCATTTCACGCGTTTGCCGGGGTTCGTGAACACTGAACACGTCACAGGAAGCGTGTCTTCGTAGTCGTGTCGAGGGTGACTGTTCTGTTCCGCACGACGCTCGAGGTAGTTTTCTTGATGTGTTTGATGGTCGACTCAACAGAGTATGTTATTTTTTAGTAATGCATGGAAAAAATATAATTTCATGCATTTGTTCATATTAAAATATCCACGAGTAACCCTAAAATTAATTATTCTGGCATAATTCTAAGCTTTTCAAGCTAAAACTGCTTGCGATTGGCCCAAATGAATTGATATGCGAATTAGGTGGATACCGTGCAATTTAATTCAGCTTTTATAAAGTATCGCATATACGTAATATATCACTATACACGCGTATATGATCAGAAATAAGAGCATTGCCATTTGTCCTTTAACCTGATATTCCTGACTTGGTTGAGTGGCAACTTAACTTTCTTACGTTAATAAGACAGCATTTCTCTAGACTTTCTTACGTTATTTTCGTTTATGTTTACGATAGTTGAGATTTTTTTTCTCGTACCAACTAGATTTTATCTTTTTATCGTTGTTCTTATTAAATATTTTGTCGAGTTTCAGTTCTAGTACGTGTCACATATATTTGATTTTATTATTCCAGATGTGCGTGAAAGTGATGAACGTTAGTGTTGCGGCACTTTACTCTTGCCTACTTAGCATTGCTGTGTTCCATATGCAGCGATATCTGTATACCACATCCTGTACAATGGTTACCCGAGTGATATGTAGGCTATGGGATCAACAACTGCGATAAAGTACCTAGCTGCTTTACAAGCTCGCGGACAAGTATACGTATATACAGGGGATAGAGTGATAGACGAAATGAGGAAAACACCTTAGAAATCCATAAAATATATTTTGATACGGTGTAGGTGCGCCTTATGTGACAATTACAACTTCAATTATCCGAGGTATTGATTCATTCAAATTGTGGATTGTTTCAAAAGAAATTTTAACCCATTCTTCTGTTGAAACTCGTTCCAGATCTTTTAAATTAAGACGATATCGGCGGGAATCGATTTCGTTCTTTCATTTCTAAAATCAAAAATGCTCGATAATACTCGGGTCTGGTGATTTTGATGGCCAAATGAGATGCTCTACTGCATTAGAATGTTCCTCGTGCCATTTTGTAACAATTCCAGCTGTATCGGTTGGGGCATTATCATCTTGAAAGATGGCGTTCCCCTCAGGAAACAGTGCTGGAGCCATTGGATGAACTTGATCTTTCAAAATTCCTAAATAGTCACGGCTGTTGATTCTTCCATGAAGGGAAATCATTGGTCCGCCGGATATCCAAAAAATAGTACCCCAAATCATCACAGATCCCCCGCCATGTTTTACAGTTGCGAAGAGGCAGTCGGGATTTAATGACTCTTTCGGCTGTTTCCAAACGTAAACTCGGTCAGAGGTTGGAAATAAAGTAAAGTGTAAACGATGATTCGTCAGAGAAAATCACATTTTTCCACTGCCCGAGAGAACAACTCTTGAGGGTTTTACGCCACTATGAACGCTTTGAAGCATTTGTATTTGAAACCAGCAGAGGTTTTTTAATTGCAGCTCTTCCATAGAATACAGATTTGTGCAGCTCTCAGCGGACAGTCTTTATGGAAACTGGGTTCTGTTATATAGGTGTCCAATGAGGCCTGCAGGAATTTCAACAGCCGTGCTGTTTCGATTGTCCCTCACAATTCGATTTAGGTACCGACGGTATCTATGAGACAACTTCGACATTCGGCCAAACCTGTACTGTGCTGAGGACGCTTTTCCTTCTCTTTCAAAAGTAGTCATTACTTATGAGACAGTTCCTCTAGAAACGTCAAGCATTCGGGAAGATTGTATGCCCGTATGGGGCACCAATTGTTGGTGCAGAGTGACAACATTTTGGCCTCTTTGAATGTCATTGAGGTTATAGCATTTATAGGTTATAGGTTTGGTTATAGATACAAAAATTTATCAAAAATATTTTTGCAAGGGTAAAATACAAGCAACAATAAAAAATGAAACGTAAAAATATGTCATATTTTCATTGTTTATAACATGTTCAAATATTACGATATCAAAATATGAGGGGTTTCCCTTATTTTGTCCAACCCATGTATATATGTTACTAAAATGCATCTGTGCATTTTGTTATTAAAGATAGTTTTTTACAATTTGGCTTTCTGTTCCCATATCTTAGCATTGATGTATAGGTAACTCTACTAGCCATAAGTTACTTATATTTTTCCGTAATGGTGACATGTTCACACAAAAATTTTTTCGCTAAATTATGTATGCTTTACACCACGGCCTTGTCTCGTGCTCTCAGTCGTTCTGCACAATAATCACTGCTTATGAATTACCGCATATTGCGACATGTCCAACTTTAGCCTTGCTTATAAAATGTTATTACGACGAAACTTTCGATATGGCCATGCTGATGCTGCAGTACTTAACGTTGTACTCAATCTGCTTTGTTTTTTTTTATTTACTCGGTATGATCATATATAACTTGTTGCAAATGTTGTCTTAGACGCTAACTGACGTTTTTGTATTTTCAAATTAGACTTATTTTCTTTTGTGTTATGCTGTGTTATTTCGCATGCCATTAAAAGAATGGGTCCGTAATCATAGAGTGATCCAATCGACAATAGTGTTACTGTGTTAGTGTATTTTTTCAGTGTATTTTTGTTGTATTTTGAAATACGCTAACAGATGTGATAGTGAATTATTTTAATAGTGTATTTTTTCATTTTTTCCCCTTGGCTCAAAGACTGAAGCTTTATTTTTAGAGTTAAATCTTATTTTATTACCAAGTATTAAACTTTAAATATGCATTTTAATTTAAAACATTGTGTGCTTCATAAGTTTTATTCTATAGCCGCGACGCTGTTTTTGAGTGGCGATTTAGACACTTCCTCAATGCTGTTGTGCTGCACGTTGCAGTAAACCCCCTTGCGTCTTACAGGAAGACGTTCAGAAACAAGCCGTCTTTGAGACTCTCAAGGTTATACCTCCATGCTGTTTCCTAAATAGCGTGCTGTACCTTTGCATTAAACTCAGAATGAAAATACCTTGTTTAAAAAAATCAATAATGCAGAATCTTGTTCTCAAGTAGCTTGAAGTATATTCTAGCCTAACCATACAGGTTCGGTCTACTAAATTTTGTTCCTTTCGTTTGATGAAGCAGATGTTTGTAATCTAAGATATCGTCATTGATAATGTACAGGTGGATACCATCTCAAGTACGTTACATTTATTTGCTTTATTATGTGACTGTTTGAGGCGTTGGCATTGCTTACGTTTTCTACCCATTCACTTGAGTG